AATTGCCGAGATTATCCCTTAGGGTTCCTCATATATTTTCTGGTAGAAAACCCTCACACCCTATTCCAATTATTACGGCCCTTGTCTCGCCACAATGTCCAGCCGTAACCCTGACCCCCGAAGCCGTTTAATCTCAAACTCCTAAAACTAAACCCTAAACCCTAAACCCTAAAGCCACAAACCCTAAACCCTAAACTGTGGATCCTTCAGCCCGATATCCCAATCCCAAACCCCTCAGCTTATTGCAGCAAACCGTCTTTAGGGTTTAGGGTTTAGGGTCTAGGAATCCGGTCTAATTGCCTTTCTGGCTTCTGTAGCCCTAAACCCTAAACCGATACTTACCTATAGTCTCCATTGTAGTTCCTTTTTAGGGTTACCTTATAGGATCCTAACTATATATTTGGTTAAACCAAAAAAGGAAATACAATGGAGACTATAGGTTACCCCTCATTCTTACGGCGTTTACCAGACGACGCTCTCCTCAGGTACGACTTCCGAAACACATCTCGGACGTGGACAGACTTTCTGAAGGTGGCTTTGGGTTTAGGGTAAACCCCATAAAGTTGGAAACCGGGTTTAGGGTAAACCCCATAAAGTTGGAAACCGGATTAAGGCCAAATAGTGCAAAGAAGCCCTATACTTTACTCTTAAGGATTGAGGCTATTGGGTTTCCAACTTTTGAGCTTCTACTGTAGGGGTGTAGGCTTCAGCATTCACAGCTCCACTGCTTGGCCACACTGGGCACCTTGGGCTTCCCCGGTGGAGCCGGCTCGGCTCGAGGCCCCTAGGCTTCGTGAGAGGATGGGTACTGAAAGGATCATGGGACCCAGTGACTCAAGTTATTTGTGAATTTGGTTTATGACCCGTTTAAGGTACTTTTAACTTTTAACTGTACCTACTAAGTGCTATGATCCTTGAAGTAGGTTTTCTTGGTCGTGGTGGTGGTCGTCGTTCTCCTGGTTGTCTGTCGCCGTCGCCGTCAATACACCATCTGGAGCACAGTCCTCGTCCTGCGCCGCCTGCTCCTCAACATCATCGCCACCTTCATCACCAACTTTATCATCGTTACCACCTCAATTGAGACAAAGGTAGCTTCATCGTCATGGCAATGGTCATACTCCTCGTGACAGCACTGCTCAACGTCCCGACACGTAGGCTCAACATAGGCGTCAGTTTCCCCCGAAGGGTCCAAAGTACCGATATAGTAGAATGTAGGGTTTCTATATCAGGAATTACTATTATGATTTGGGGAAGTATTCCCCATAACAGTACATAGCACCCTTTGGGTCCTGCATGCATCATATCGTAGAGTGCTGGTTTGGATTTGGGGATTTTCGGATCTGGCTCCGCAACCCGACAGCCTGGCACATGCCAGTGTTGTGCATGATGATGAAGATAGCCTTGAATCCATGCCTTGATCCTTATTCCTGCTCACCTCAGCCCTAAACTTTGAACCCTGAACCCGAACCCCCAGACCCTGACGAATTCCAAGCCGTCAAACCGTCGAAGCCATCTCTGCGCCAGGTGCGGCTGCCTGACAGCTGTGTGCACGAATTGCAGCACGTGCACCATGGTGTTTGGCGCCCGGAACAGGCTGATATAGGGGCCCAAATTATCACCCTTTACCATTTTGGGGGTTCCCCATGATAGTTTCAGTATAATGGTAATGAGCCCATAACCCTATAATTATTTAGGCCCCTAGATTATAGCAGCAGGAACGAAACTGATGGTTATACTGCTACTACAAAGACGGCAGATGAGCGGATCGTCGTAGAATGCGTAAATAGCACTAGCAGTAGCAGTAGCAATCGGAGTCGTAGTAGGAGTGGTAGCTTGTATCAGTTGCAGTTATAGTTGTATAACCGTAGCAGGCATTAGAAGAGGAGGCGCAGGAGCAGTAGTGTTACATTACACCATGGCAACAACCACAACAGCAGCAAGCAAACCGACAACATTGCTACCATTGGCGTTGACAGGAATCATGAGCGGTTAACGCTACGTCGCAAATAGACAGTGGTTGTAGTATCAACAGGCGTCGTGATAGCAGCTATCAATGACATTGGTCGCAACCTCAAGGGCGAAATTCAAGTGGCAGGCTTCCAGTCCATAGTTCAGGGCTTAGTAGTTTGAGCAAAGGTCACGCCCTTTCCGCTCTACTTCGAAGGCCTGGAGGCAGCTTGATTGATTAATGGATTGATGGATTCATGGATTGATGGATTGATGGATTGATGGATTGATGGATTGATGGATTGATTGATTGATTGATTGATTGATTGATTGATTGATTGATTGATTCATATCAAGACGTGCAAAATCAATAGCAGCACTGTGATACTACGCCCTCCTAACCGCTATACACTTATAGCACAACATAATATGCATTCAGCCCAAGTGTAGGCAACAAACCTTTGTCAAAACCTCAAGAAAAACATCCCTCTACAAACTCGTGGAGTTTCCAAACTCGAAAGCACAAATCTCCAATAGCAAAGGGCACTATGCAGAGAAAAACATCTCCACCACCCGTCAAATGCTCAAGTTTGCTGAGACGTTCCATTCCTCAAGCCTTGAAGCCAGAGCTGTCAAAACCAGGCCCTACATAAGCTTTTCTCAACCTCAAACCCCTAAACGCTTTGTTCACATGCAGACGCCAAAGGCCCTAAACCCTCTCTTGAGCGAGAGAGCTTCCCTTCTGTCCTCTCGTTAGGTGTTGTTTTTGAATTGGGGCTCAGGGCTCAGAGGTTTAGGCGATGTGTTTGAGGTTTATGGGGTGTAGAGGTGGAAACCTTCTAAGCCTATGAGCCAGTGAGCCATCCCTACAAGAGGGGCTCAGGGTGGGAGACGTGAACCCGGCTACCCTCCAGCTCGACGGATGCAGTCGATTGCCCCCATGTCGAGACAACGTGCCCAGATAGAAAGGAATAGCTATGAACCGAAAGTTCTAAATCCCAAATCCTAAGCCCTAAAATAACCACACCGAAATGTCTTATTCTTGAAGTGCCCTGGGCCTTCAAAAGGAGAACGTTGTCGAGTGAAACGGGGGGATGAGCAGGTCAAATTCGTGGGATCTGCTGCAAACTAGGCGGAGAGTCTAGAGGGGCGAACTCCTACAGTTGCGGCAAAGGGAGCTGCCAGAGTACTCTTACGGTGTGGAGGATTCTGGTTGGTCTTTGATTTTGGTGAAGAGTTTCTGTTTCGACGTTGTGAACCCTTAAACCGTGAACACAGGCTTTTGAGGGTTTCCGCTCAGGGAGTAGAATGCCTAATGATGCCTAATGAAAGCCCAAACCAAGACGCTGTTCTCTCAAGCTGTTTCTTGAAGGTCCGTGGACGTGAGGCGGGAGCCGTCATGGAAGCTGTGTTGGAGTCGTGTCGGGGTCTGAACCTGTAGTTGCGATTTGGCCTTGAAGTCCTTGAGTGCTTATATTACTAAACTCGACCTTGTAACAGCACCGTTCCAGAGCTTGCCATGCATTGTGATTGGTTCTTGCACCCTTTGCAATGATTGAAATGGCGCGAACGAGAGGGTTTGTGCATGGGGTCCCTAAATGCTAAAACCCTAAACCCTAAACGTACCCTGGATGCAAGGAAAAGGCCTCTGCACTTAAACCACTTAAACCGCAAATCCTAAACCCTAAGCCCTAAACTCTAAACCGTAAGTCCTAAACCCTACATCCTAAACCCTTTAGGGTTTAGGGTTTAGGGTTTAGGGTACCCTAAACCCCTAAACCCTAAACCCTAAACCCTCATCAAGCCCAGAGCCCCAATCCTTTTGCCCCAGACCTCGGGGTTCGCCGACCTGATGGGGTGTTTGAAATCCCCAAACAGCGCCTAACCTCAGTCGGTCGGCGGAGGGAGAATATATATATATATAATATATATATAGCATGTTGATGTTGTAACTGCATCACAGCATGGTCTAGAACAGTATGAGTTTAGGGTTTAGGGCCTCTTGCAATTTTCCCGAAGCCTACAAACAGCACTTCCCGGAACCCTGAAGCCACGACTACAACTGCTTTCGCTCTACGCAGACCTAAACCCTAAACCCCTAAACCCTAACCCCCTAAACCCCTAAACCCTAAACCCTAAAGCCTAAACCTCCAAACCCCTGAAACCCTCGATGCCCAGGCCCTCAAACCCCACGTGGAGGATCATGGGACTTAGGACTTAGTATTGGGGTTATAGGTAGTAGGTTGGTTATACGTACCTTGATTGGGGTTATAGGTAGTTGTAAGTATAGTTACCCTAATAATAACCTTAGTTTCTGTGTCCCATGATCCTTTAAGTAGAGCCTAAACCCCCCCTAAGGGAGTGCAAGCCCTGGCTGTCTATCAGGCAGCCCCAGATTCAAACCACTTAGCAGTAGAGTTGCTGCTTGCCGCCTCTGATGCTCAAAAAGGCTATGCCTTCAGCACTCCTGCCATATAAGGCGGGCTGAATATGGGGGCCTATATAGATAATTACCAATACTAAATCGCGGGTTCTTATTATACTTATAGTACATTGGATCCCCAAACCCTATTCTGATTTTTAAGGCTCCTATAGTATGACTTGTAGTAGTGGTTATAGAAGATGTTTACAGGACCTTTTTTTCAGCCCGTATAGCACCCTGAGCAAAGGTTACCTAGCACCGTCGCATTGAGACCCAGGTGCAGCAGAGAGCGCTAAACGTTTCATGACACTTTCTAATACACATGGGTCGTTCTCCAAATTAGGTTCCCTGGTAAGGTTCTTTTTGTAAGGGTGCTGCCGTCTTTTGGGTTCCTAAAACGAGACCCCAGTTTGGAGAACTACCCATATGCTTCCAAGTCCGGAAAACCTTGAGCCTTTGACCTTTGAACCGAGAAAAGCTTGGAAGCTCTAGTGGAGGCAGCCCTGAGCAGAGGGGTAGGGTTGAAGAAGCTGCAGCCGCACGACCCCACACCCTAGACCTTCATCCCAGTCATGGGCCTTGGGTTTAGGGTTTAGGGTTTCCGGCCCCGTGAACCCGACACCGAAGAGCCATGGGCAAGATGTTGAAGAAGCCAGCCGCGTCCTCCGGCTCTACGATGAAGACCACGGGCACGGCAGGCCGAGCAAGAGGCAATAGAAAAAGTAGCTCGTAGTAGAACCGGTAGTAGCAGTCGCCATAGTAGAACGAAGAAGAAGACCAGTGAAACCAATGAGAACTTCGCACTTAGCGGACAGGTTGCGTGCCTGGTGTTGAGGGTTGAGCTAGTGGTAGCTGAGAGAACAGTGCGAGCATTGCGAGCATCGACAAAAAGATTCGACATCGCAGGGGAAACACTTGTTACTATACCGTAAAGTTAAACCACAACCGGAGTCAGCACTAGCAGGAGTAAGATTTGCTATCTTTATGCCATGCTGCTAATGGTGCTGACGTCGTGGTACCAGGAGCAGCACTAGCTACTAATCATTAATTCCTACACCGTAGCTGTAAAGTACACTGAAGCCACAAACCCGAAGCCCCGAACCCCTCATAGAACCCTCGTAGGGCCCTTGCAGTAACCCGTATGCCAACCCTGTTAAAACTTCATGGGAGATACTGACCTCCAGTAGCCCTAGTCTGCCCTGCTGCTAAACCCTGAAAGGAACAGGTTTGGGCGGTTTGGCCGCGCCTTACAAGGCTTGTGGTGGGAGAAAGAAAGAAAAGCCTTCTGCAGACAGGCTTTCACAGCTCATCGACATAGTACCGTGCAATCCACACAGCCTTGTCGCAAGACACATCGCCTAAGCGGTAAACCCAAACCTCAACTCCAACAAACCCAAAACCGTAATTGAACCTTTTGTGAACAACATTTTGTGAAAAACTCTAAGAGCCCTCGGCTCTGACTCAAGGCCTCGCAGTTTGCCGGGCCGCCTTGGAGGAAGTTCCCGTGGGCCAAGTGGTGACTAAAAAGGCGCGCGACTGGCCCGGGGTTCCGGGTTTAAGGTTCTAGGGCTTAGGGTTGAGGGTTTAATGTTTCTGTTTTAGGGTTTGGGTTTATTTAATATTATTTTGGTTTTAGGGTTTAAGGTTTGGGGGTTTCGAGGTTTAGGGTTTACTTCGGTTTCAGGGTCTTAGGGTTTCAGGGTCTTAAGGTGCAGGGTCTGGTGCAAGGTTCAGGATCTTGTGGGTTCAGTATAGGGCGCAGCGGCTGCGGATGGTATTCCGTTACAAATTTTCTGCCATTGTTTTCCTCTGTAGTCCGTATCCCTACAGAATCACTGTCCTTGTGGGATAAACCCTAAAGCCTAAACCCTAAGCCCTAAGCCCCAAACCCTGTTGTGTTCTGTTTCTCAGTGCTTGTGGTTCAGGCTTTAGGGTTTCGGAGCTTTGGGACTGTAGGGCTTCTTGGGTTAGCAGCTGAGTAGGTAACCTTCAACCTTTAGGGTTTTTAAGGTTTAGGGTTTTGGGGGTTTTTAGGGTATAGCTTTTCAGGTTTAGGGCCTAAGGTGTCCCGTGAATAATTACTTAGTCGCTAGGTAGGTAACCAATCACCTTTTGGGGTTTATATAACCCTACCATAATAACCTAAACCCTAAATCCCTAAACCCTAAACCCCTAAACCCTAAACCCTAAACCTTAAACCGTTAATTGGAAAGGTCATCTTTTTTTGGGCGAGGATCCTCAGCTTCTAAGTGGGTTAGTAGCTGAATTTGTTCTGGCTTCCAGGTTTTGCTTTGGAGATTTGGTTTGGCTGCCTTCGGGGATGGTGGTTTCTTGTTAGATTTGGGTGTAGGGCAAAGCCCGAAACCCTCAACGTTTTGGACGGGGTATATGGCCTCTAGGGTTTAGCTTAAACCCTAGATCGTACATCTAGATTGAAGTTCAGGCGCTTTGGGATGCGTCTTTCTGTGCGGCCCGCAAGGGGTTTTCAGGGGTTTGCCGGGGTTTATAGGGGTTTGTAAGGGTTTATACGGGTTTAGGATTTTCGAGTTCGGGTTAAGGGGTTAAAGCGTCAAGGGGTTCGAGGGTTTCAGTTTCTGGGTTGGCGTGGTTTAGGAGTTTAGGTCTAGGGGTTTAGGGGTTTAGGGTTTACGACATTTTCATGCAGGAGTTGGCGCTGATGGCTTTCGGCCATCCAGGTCAAGGTTGCTCAGCTGCTTCAGTAGTTGTGTATTTGCGTTCATATCTAGAGGCAGGGACTCTGTTGGGAGGTTTTGAGGTTTCGGGCTTGTGAACTTCGAGGTTGCTTGAGCGGGTTTATTGTTCCAGTGTGAAGCATCTTGTGATGTCATGTGGCATTCTGCAAGATCTAGGTTCAGCCACTTTGTGTGCAACTTCCCAGGTGCTAGGAGTCAAGCTCTACTCGGACGGTCGGGAAGGACCTCCTAAGTAGGGGTAGAAGTAAATCTGTACAATAGAACGTTTACGTTTCTCAGACCAGTTGCATCAGACATTCAGCGGTCATGCCTCCTTAGCTGTGGGAGTACATGATAGAAGCAGTCGTAGTGTCTACACTCAGGGTATGAACATGCCGAGCTGATGAAGGGGCCTCAAACACAGCGTCGAACGTAGGAATCGTAACGGTTGCCATCAACATCACCATCATCTTCAACATGACCAACACCATCACAGTATTCGTGGATGTTGGTAGCGTTCCTTAACCAGTTACGGGTCTGCTAAAGGGGTCTGACGGATCAGAGAATACAATATGGCTAGTTGTCAAAATTAGGGTCCCTTTTTGGGTGCCTGAATATTAGGTGCCGTCTTAGATTAAGGACCCAAAAAGGCACCCTAATTTTGACAAGCACCCATATCAACATCCTATTCTCATGACTATTGTCCACCCTCTGAGGCCCCTAAGACAACCCTTATAAGACCCTTACCCAGAGCCTCCCAAACCCCTTAATTAAGGAACATACCTTAAACTATATTAGGGATCCTATAACAATTTAAGGTATATTCCTTAATTAAGGGGTTTTGGAGGCTCTGGGTAGAAACCTGTTTAAGGGCCCTACATCAAAGGATAGTTGGAGGATCATGGAACCTGGTAACTTACCAAGTTATAAGTACCCCATTGGGGATTATACGTGATTATGAGTATAGTCACCTTAATAGAACACCATAGCTACCAAGTCCCATGATCCTTCAAGTACACCATACACCCTAGACCCTTATGATACCCCTGTAGACCCCCTTAAAGGGACCCTTAAGCTTTACCAAGTTCCATGATCCTGTAAGTGGTGGAGAGTCCCAGGGCAGCTGGCGCAGATCGGCAAAGCTTCGGCTGCGCTGGCCGAGGGCAAGGTGAAGGGGTGCGGCGCTTGGGCACTCGGTTGTCTCCTGAGTAGTTCTCTAAATTAGGGTTTAGGGTTTAGGGTGTTTTTGTTTCTATTTTAGAGAACTACCCTCTTGCTTTTGGGCAATCCAAACTTGCTTTACCCGTAGGCTGTTCTTGCTTAGGGTTCAGAATTTATTAAGCTTTTGGTTGCAAGCGGAAAACGTTCACGAATGAGTCCTGGGAATCAGCAAAGCTACCCCCGCCAGCATCGCGTCCTCCAACACAATCGGGATAAGAAACGGACGATGTAGCGGAATCCATAGCAAACACCAGCCAATGATGCGGCGAATTTTCAAGTTCGTGCTGATCTTCCAGCTTAGAAATCGCTGGAGTCCGTAACCAGAGGATGGCAATGCCCTGCAGCAGACAAGAATCTGAAGGAATGATCTGCAGCCCTATAAACCCTAAACCCTAAATCCTCAACCCTAACCCCCAAACCCCATAAGCCGTCAACCCTAAACCCGTCTACTAGCATTTTAAGACGGGAGAATGTGGGCCCCGAGCACCTCCTCTCTAACATTAACCATGTCGCTAAACTGAACTACCCAAAGCTACTGTATCGTCCCTAAAAGTTCTTTATCAGGACCGTCACTAAGAACCTACCAAGCGAATAGGTTGTGGTAGCTCGAGGTACCAATAATGTTCTTCAGACTTTCTACAACCCAGCCCTAAACCTAGACTCGAACCAGATACCCGAAGTCTCGTCATACCTTAAAAGCCCTACCGTAACCCAACACCCTACGCGCTCAACGCCCAAACCCCAATCCCCGAGCCCTAAACTGTAGACCCTAAGCCCTGAAGCCTAGATGGTGGCGCATCGTCAATAGCGGCACGCCAGCTTTACAGTCGGAAGCATGGAGAAATTTCAGTCTGAAAACGCATAGGCTTTAGCGTTATGGTTTGGGGCTTGGGGATTAGGGTTCAGGACCCAGAGACTCCAATATCCTTTAATTAGGGAATATACCCTAAATCATATTAGGGATCCTACTATATTTTAAGGATTTTAAGGTATATTCCTTAATTAAGGGATGTTGGAGTCTCTGTGGAATTCGGAGAAGCCTTGGTCTGAAAATTGGCTCCCAGCCTCGGGTTCGTGGCTTGAAGAGAGCAGGAGCGGTTGATGATATAAATCCTGCATGACCCGTAATAAGGAATATACCATAATTCCCATAGTTTGGGGTCCTTAAGGTAATGCAGGATTTATATCATCAACAGGAGTCACAGGGCTGGAACCCAAGATGATGGGATCCTGCAGACACGTACCCCTGCATTCAATGGGGTTCCCCCAATGTTATGAAACCCCATTGTGGGGTTTGAAGTAGTTTGAGGCAATACAGGGTTTATTTATGCTTTAAACAGGTGTTTTTTGGGTTTAGGGCTTCTATATGGTTTGGATATGTAGTTTTCCGAGCACCTTGTGACTTTCTAGACTTGATCTACCTCCTTTCCTGGCACTAAGACCAATGTGGTCTCTCATCTTTCCGAAGCTCAGGTTTTTATGGGTAATTAGTTCTCCAAATGAGGGCCCCGTTTCAGGTCCCAAAATAGTGCGGCACCCTTATAAAAAGGAGCCGAAAAGGGACCCTAATTCAGAGAACTACCTTAAGCTCGAAACCCTAAGCCCTAAGCCCTCAACCCTAAACCAAGACAGCCTCTTAAACTCGAAACCCTAAGCCCTAAGCCACCCTGGCCCGCAGACCCCGCATCCTGCACCTTTTGCCCCGTCTCGAGACCCTCAGCCCCAAACTGCAACCCTTAACAATACGTATAAGGGGAACCTTTAAGGGTTCCTTTAAGGGATCTATAGGGTTTTAGGGTTTAGGCTGATGATATAAATCCTGCATGATAATAGGGAGTATATGGGAATTATGGTATATTCCTTATTATGGGCCATGCAGGATTTATATCATCAAGCGTACTACGGCTCTTAATAATAATGCTAGTACTGACAATATTCAAGTTACAGTAGTAACAACAACAATGATACTAATCGTTATTTCAGTCTTCAGGTAGCAACAAGATGATAGAAATGACAGTAGTAAATGTAAGCATGATAGGAATGATAACAGCAATGGATAATAGTAATAACTGCAACCCTTAATGATAGTACGGTTCATAGCAGTAGTACTGGTACTAACAATAATTAGCACCAATAATGATCATTGGAATATCTGACCTGAACGCTAAACCCTACCTAAACCCAACTAACCTCCTTTTTTGGGACTTATATACAGAAATCATACTAGGGGACCCTAAAAAGGTAGGTTCCTTAGCGTCCAGGTAAACCCTAAGTATAAGTACCTTATTTCGGGTTATAAGTATAGTTACCCTAATGATAACCTTAGTTACTAAGTCCCATGATCCTTTAAGTAAGCCCGAGCCCAAGCACCGCCTTTGAAGTTCTGCCTTGCACGTTCCAGCTACTCGCCAAGGGGCGGGAAGCGGAGCAGAAGCGAAGGCAAAGATGGGGTTGTGTATAATTCGGAAGATTTAGGGTTCAGGGATGATCCGCCTGGTCCTACTCGATTTTTCCTCGTCCTCCCTCGTACCCTCGCAACAGCTGTTTGCTGCTGCTGTGGTTTGTTGCTGCTGCTTCTGCTGAGGCTTCTCCTGCTGTTGCTGCTATTGGTCTTGGCAGCTGCCGCCGTTGCTGCTGCCATTCCTTGTGCTGGTGCTGATTCGGTTGCTCATGCTCTTGATGAGTTGTCGTCTCCTTTGTTAGGTTCTCAGAATTCAACTGATGGGTCGTGGGTTTTTGAGTGAGCAATGTTCTCGACGTCGGGCGTCGGTTTCTGATGTCGTTGTTTTTCCTTTGCACGGTTCAAGATGCAGAGCTTGAGGCTTCTTCGAGTCTTGCGGTGCGTCTGGGAAGAAGCTGCTCACTCTTGGGGTGCAGGGCGCAAGGTTCACGGACGGAGCGGCTATTGATTTGTTTGGACTGTCGGTTTTTGGGGAAAGCTTTCCGGTCTTCCTGTGCGAGTTGGTTGGCCAGGGCTCGAGGCTTAACACAGCATGGCTTGTCTAGGATGCCCAGTAGTACCCTTATTCCCTTTTGTAGTACTAGGTTCCTTATAAAGTTACCCAATACCAAAATGAGAGGCCTTTTTACTATTAGGTTACTGGGTATCCTAGTTGTTCACGACAGGCAGCACCATGATGAATTCGCGACCAGCGAGGCAGTATTATCATGACAAGGCTTTTCAACTGCAGGCGACGATGGTAGAATGGTAGAACCCTTTGATGGCTGAACTCCCGGAATCCTGAACACCAAGAGGTTGCATTCCCAAACCCCTTAACCTTTCACCCCAAATCCGAAAACCTTTGGCAATTTATGCGGCAGCGCCCACCACGGAGGCTGGAGGAAGAAGGTGCCTCCTTGGACTTTCCGGTGAAGCAGGGCGCCCCGGGGCGAATCAGCATCCAGGGTCTAGGGGCTTCAGGATGTCGGAACAAATTTTGTTGCTTGACTTTTTACCCTAAACCCTAAACCCATTTATGTCTGTTTTGAGCAAATGATTGGAACTGGAGTCGGCGAGGCAAGGATGCCTGTCTCTCAAGGCTTAGGATTTAGCCAGCCAAATAGCCATCCAGATGGTTGATGTGATAGATTGGGTTCCCGTTAAGGAATTGAGTGAAGGTTACCATAAAAAAGAAGCTGTATTATTTACTATAGAGCCCATTATGATAACTTAAACTAAATTCTTTACAAAAAACCCAGTAGAGTGGTGCAACCGTGCTTACCACTTGGGGCTGTCTTGCGACGTCTTCAGCTTCTTGAGTCTCCCACACGTTGCCTCAACTCCCCATTGACTGAAACACTAAAGCATAAACCCCAAAGGCTAAACCCAAAACCCGTAGCCCGAAACACAAACAAACCTGAACCCTCAATATAAGGGCCTCAGTAATTACCTTTATTTCTGTGGGGATTCCTTATGTACGTTACAGTATAATATACCTAGAGTTTTTAAATATTAAGGCTCGTACATTACACTAGGAGGTTGCAGGAGGCGAGGTCGGCAGGATTTCCCCTGATCCCCAGGTTTAGGGTTTAGGGTTTAGGCTTCAAGTCAAGAACCCTTGGAATGAGGCCTCTGAGAAGGGCTTTAGACTGGGGGTTTAGGGTTCAGGGTTTCAGGGGCTTGGGGTGTAGGGCTTATGGGTTTTGGGATACACATTTCATTGCTGTTAATATAAAGGACCTCCAAGCCATGATATGGGTGATCACTTAGGGGTACTTAGACATATATTATTTTTATTTTTTGTTATTATAAGCCCTAAGAAACAGCTAAAATTGTAATGTTTGCTAGGGTTCTAAGTTCAGTATAGATCATTTCAGACTCCATTACTGCTACAAGCACTGCTACTCTTCAGGGGCTTCCTGTTTACGAGACAGCTCTCCTGAAGCTCCAACCGAAGCCTTGTGGCTTGAGGGTTTAGGGGCTTCGGGTTTAGGGTTCAGGGGCTTAGGGTTTTGGGGTTTAGGAGCTTAGGGTTCAGGGGCTTAGGGGAGTTTAGGGTTTAGGTTTGGGCTGCAGGGCCATTTTACTTGGACTAGGCTTGCGGGTTTAGGAAAGTGAGCTGCAGTGACACCACGATAGTCCTCAAAGCCTAAGTTCTAAACTCTGCCCATAGCCAGAAGTAGTTCTCTGAATTAGAATTTGTGCTCCTTCGGGGTTCCCCTGATTCCCTTCGTCGATACTAATTCTAGCTGTAACTAAAGGGAGCCCCTAATTTTCAGAAGACCTTCATTGAAGGAGTAGGGAATGGGGGAATGGATCCTGTAGCAGTCCCTATATAATCCCCAATAATGGTCTCCTTAGTCCATTTCCCCATTCCCAACAAAGAACCAGACAACTACTATAGATACCCGAAGACCCCTTATAGAACCCTTATAGAACCCTTGTAGGACCCTCTAAAGGAACCCTTAAAGGAATCCCTCAACCCTAAACCCTATACCCTAAACCCTAAACCCTTCCCCATTCCCTACTAAGAACCAGACAGTCTTCTGCAATGCAGCCCTTGTAGAACCCTTAAAGAACGCTTATAGGACCCTTTAAAGGAACCCCATTCCCTACTAAGAACCAGACAGTCTTCTGCATGCTTGCAGACGAGATCCGACAGCGCTGCCGCCGTTCTTGTCCACCATCTTCGAGTGCGTTGCTGGCATCAACCAGAGGGTTTAGGGTTTGGGGTTTTAGGGTTTTAGGGTTTACGGTTTTAGGGTTTTAGGGTTTAGGGTTTTAGGGTTTTAGGGTTTAGGGTTTAGGCTTAAGGGTTTTAGGGTTTTAGGGTTTAGGGTTTTGTCAATGAGAGGGGGGCAGTGGGGGTTGGAGGGTCTAATGTGGGTTAAGGCGGGGGTTGTAATATGTCCGGGTCCGTGACTCTCGTCCGGATTTCGGGCCTTAGTGGCAGACTTTGTATCCGTTGCTCAACGGGCTTATGAATGAGTTCTTAAAGGATCATGGGGCTTAGTAAGTATTGTTATAAGTACCTTAATTGGGGTTATAAGTAGTTATAAGTATAGTTACCCTAATAATAACCTTAGCTACTAAGTCCCATGATCCTTTAAGTAGGGTTCTGCTTTCAGTCCAAGGCCGAAATCTTGAATGGCGAATAGTAGCCTTCGCAGATGCGAAGGCATGTTTATCAGCATCCAGCAGCATTTCGAGAGTGACATGCTTAAAGCAGGCATCAGATTCTCAACTCAACCGCCCTAAACCTGAACCCCAAACCCAGGCAAACCACCCTAAACCCTAAATCCCAAACCCTAAATCCTAAACCCTAAACCTCCCCGAGTCTCCAGGTTGAGATACCTCCGACAGGCAAGCACACGCACACGTTGGTGTACCTGCATGGGCGCAAGTTCATTGGAAGCTACTACCTCAAGCAAAAGCATCTTGGATTCCGGTTTGAGGTTAAGGCATGTATGGCTTCAGGCTCAAGTTATCCTCAAGATTTTAGAGTTCTACCACTTTGAAGTGCTCGTGGAAATACTTCCTGCCGAAACGTCTTTGTGCTAAACTTGGAGGTTCAGGGGTAGTTATAAGTAGCGTTATAAGTCCTGGGTTATAACTATAGTTACCCTACTTCTAGCCCTACTTATATAACCACCCATGAACCTCCAAGTAGGCCCTGGACCCCAAATCCTAGACCTTTACCGCCAGCTTCGCTAGTCCACTACTGTCGATAGCAAACGCTGGTGTTTCGGTTGCTCCTCGTAGTTCATGCTAAGTTATACCCCTTGAACTGAAGAACCGTACTAAAGAGGCTTCAACAATTACCTCCACTATTTTGGGGGGTTCCTTGTTATAAGTACTAAGTACAGCATAATAGATGCATGTGCAGATTTCGGGGTATAGCAGTTGCAGCAGCTCTCGTGGCAGCGGTGGCAGTAGCAGTAGAAGTGAAAGTACGGGGCGCTGGCCGTAGCAGTAAACAGTAAGCAGTAAGCAGTGAGCAGTAGCAAAGCCGTAGTGGCAGTGGCAGGTAGCAGTGGCCGTGGCGATGGCGGTGGCGGGGTGGGTGCCGGTGGCGGTGGCAGCAGAAGCAGCAGCAGCAGCAGCAGTGGCAGTGGCGGTCGACGGTAGATGGTAGCAAGTAGCAAGTAGCAGTAGCGGCAACAGCAGCAGCAGTAGCAGTAGCAATAGCAGTAGCAGTAGCAGTAGCACGAAGCAGTAGCAGTAGCAGTATAGCGGTAGCAGTAGCCGTAGGCGTAGCCGTAGCCACTGCAGTAGCAGTAGCAGTAGCAGTAGCAGTAGCAGTAGCAGCAGCAGCAGCAGTGGCAGAAGCGCAGCAGTTTTTTGTAGCAGCAGTAGTAGCAGCAGCAGCAGCAGTAGTAGTAGTAGTAGCAGCAGTAGCAGTAGCAGTAGCAGTAGCAGTAGCAGTAGCAGTAATTACTAGTAGTCGTGGTAGTAGCAGCAGGCGTCGTCGTCGTCGTATGAGCGGTACGTATTCGAAGCAGTACTAGCATGAGTCATCCCGATGATCTTTGACTTTGTGTTTGGAGTTCCCAAGCCGAGGCATTTTTTCGCCGGCCCGTTTGCATCGTGCCTTCGCGTGGTGCTGCCAACGGCTTCCCTCGTCGGTGGGCAGACGCTAGGTGTCGAGTATACTTTAAGGGATCTATATTAGGGCTAAGGGCCCCTTTAAGGGATCTATAGGGGGGGTACTATAAGGGATTGGGGTTTAAGGTATACTTGGAGGATCATGGGACTTAGTAAGTACATAAGGTTTCTTTAAGGGATCCTTACAGGGATCTATTGGGTTCCTTATAAAGGGATCTATAGGGTTTAGGGTTGCAAGCAACACTCGCTTGTGTGCATCAACGCATAGATGTTTGATACACGAAGTCTTTGATGCTCAGGGGAAAACAAGAGTCTGGACCGGGCTTAGACCGAACTGCCTTGCCGTTCGCTACAGAGCCATAGAATCCAGAGTCATTCGAGCTCTCCTACGACTTGTGCTCAGGGGTTGCACCGCCAGCCTACCGACTGTCACGGTAGCGGAGCCTTCTTTGGAAGGTTCAGAGTTTGGTGATCCAGGGACGTGAGCTGCTTGCTGTGGGAACCGCGAGCAGATCGACATGTCGGTAGCTGGTGCAGTCACTAAGAACAAAGATGGGGTCCCTCAGTGGAACGGAGACAGCGCCACCTTCAACGAATATGAAGAACAATGTCTTCTTTATGAGCAGAGCACCGAGTACTACAAGCGCTACATGGTTGCTCCTAGGTTGATAGGAGAACTACAAGGACCTGCTCGAAGGTTGGTGTTGGGCCGTAAAGCTGATTGGGTGAGCTATGATGGAGGTGTGGCAGAGTTGCTTTCGACTTTGAGGGCATCCTTGGGGAGACCGCAAGTGTCAGAACTAGCGGACTTCTTAACGAAGTACTTCAAGCAGACCCGCCGTAAGGCCCAGGAAAGCATGCCGGACTACATCACTAGGAAATGTGAAACTTACCTACGAGCTCAACAGGCCTTTCAACGTGTGCTGCCTCATCACGCACAGAAGAAGTCGAGCCCCGCGCGTGAGGAACCATGGAGCACAACGTGGAGCCGGAGAGTGAGTGTGGACTCCAATAACAGTGGAGGTCAGAGCCAAGCCGCAGCCCCCGTGAGTGAACCCGCGGAGACCGAGGAGGATGCGGAGGAGCCGGGGACGAATGATGAGTCGTGGCAATGGGGCGGCTGGCACGCAGGATGGAGTTGGCAGTCTTCGGATGGATGGAACGGAGGCTGGGGACGCTACCAATGGGGCGAGCCTCGAAGGGCCTACGCAAAACCAGGGCCCGAGGTGCTTTGCGATATCCTCCCTGATTTCGTCCAAGGATGGTATCTACTTCACGACAGTGGTCTGAGCGCTGGGGAAAAGGACATGATCCACACCGCGGTCCAAGGAGACTACTCGCTACAGCGGGTAGCGCAGGAGCTGCGCTCCCAATGGGACGAGTACAGCTTGCGACAACGAGAAGGACACGGACGAACCCAGGCAGGCTACATGGGCTACGAGAAGGAGGTGGAGACCGACGACGAGGACGATTACCAGGCGGGCTACCACGTGGAGGACCTGAACGAGGAAGGGATGGCCCTCGTTGCCGAGGCCGAGAGTGAAGCCCAGCAGGCTTTAGCAGCGATCATGAATGGCAAGCGTACCCTCAAGGAAGCGCGTGCACGGCAAAACCAAGTCCGGCTGTCACGACAATACTACAAGTCCGGACCACCGAGGAGTTCGGGATCTACGTTTGGATCTGGTGGGTATGGAGGTGCAGCGCGCACCCAAGGACCTCCAGATGACAGCCGCATGGTTTGCATGAAGTGCGGTAAAACGGGACATCGTGCAGCGAACTGTCCCAAGAAACAGGAGACCAACGACCATGCCAAAGTGGCGGAGGAGACCGAGCCGGAGCACGCCCCGTTCATCTGCTACTGCGACCAGGCTTACGCTACGTCCGAGGCCCAGGCGTACATGACCACCAATGAAGCGGTACAACGAGGCTGGTGTGTGGTAGATGGAGGCGCCACAAAGACGTTGGGAAGCATCACGGCAGTGCAGAATGTCTTGGACCAGAACTATGCGAAGTTGGGCAGCACCCGTCTGCTGCAAGTGGACACCGAGAGACGACCTTTGTTCTCGTTTGGGAACTCCTCTGAGAACAAGTGTGCTTCAACTGTGGAACTCGGAATCCAAGCCGGAGATCGCGAAGGCCAACTCACGATCCACACGCTCGACGCCGGCACAGGACCAGTGCTGCTGAGTGTTTCGACGCTGCGGGCTTTAGGAGCTGTGATAGATTTCTCTGAGGACCTTATCTGTTTTCGCTCGGTGGATCCCAAGAGGATCATTCGAGCCAAGCGTTCACAAAGTGGACATCAGCTACTCCCCTTGAGTGGGGACATGTGTGAGGCATCTGTAGTGACCGATAGGGCCATACCGAGCCTCAAAGAATTTCTCCCATAGGGACAACTCCTTTCGCTGTCTGAGCCTGAAAGACCGTGGAAGGACAGAGTTTGTGTATCAGGCACGGGGATGACTGAGTATCAGTCCCGGGTACCTAGTACCTCTTCCAAATGTGTTGTGAGTCAGAGTGACGAAGCTAGTATAGAGTTTTCTTCTACTTCTTCGGCTGCCACGAAGAGTCAGACAGGATCCACCACGAGATCCACGCCACGACCAAGAGTACGTTTTGATGAAAGCACTTCCGGCCCAAGCCTCGAGAACTTAGCCGCGGAAACTTGGGGAACTCATCGCCATGAGTCTCAGCAGTGCCACGAAGTTGCAGCTGCAGCAAATGCTGGTGAAACGGGGAGAAACTCCACCGGATCGCTGGACCAAGGCCGAGCTGCGCTATCGCCTCCTGGAGCTGGAACCGACTTTGGCGGATCCGAAGCCTCGGGGAGAGAACGATCCCGAGCTGAAGCAGTGGGTCAAGAAGATCAACCAGGCACAGGCGAAGAAGACGAACTTGGTCACGCTATGCGAGAACGAGCTGTCCCTGGTGTTGTCCGGGAACGAGACCGTGGCGCAGTTGGAAAAGAAGGCCATGGAACAGGCGCACCGCCTGGCCAAAGCAGACCCCCGCGACTATGTCGGCTTTGGCAAACACGCCGGGCTGCAGTACCAGGACATCCACCGCTACCACAAGGATTACCGTGCGTGGGTCATCCGGACTGCTGCCGAGAACCAGGGAACCTGCGACCACCGGTTAGCCAGGTTGGCCCAGTGGCTCTTCGAGAATCCGAACTTCGAAAAGAACGAGGAGCCGGAACCGCCGAGCCCACCAGAACGCAAGGACGTGATGAAGGGCTACCCCCGACAGGGATCTACGGCGACGTCATCGAACCAGGGACCCAGTCCTGTGGCGAGTGCGACGATCCCCGACATGGACCGTTTGGCGGATGTGATCACAAAGATGGCCGGCGCGATCGAGAGCTTGCAAGAGGAGATGCAGGACTTGCGGGCCGAACGCCCGCGCAAGAAGGAGCCGCCAGCCAGGACCGAAATCTCGGACGGGACCTCCGAGGGCTACACCAAGATCAACCACGGCTAGGTCAAGAAGTGAGCGGGCCGCAGGAAGCCATGTATAAAGCCCAAGGCACCCACCTGAGTGCTGGGAGGGCTAGTCAGCTGGAACACGAATCTCAGCTACTTGTACCTGGACTGTTTCAAGCTTTAGTCGGGTATGGTAGGCCTGTTTTGATGGAGGTTGCTTGCGATTCGGATAGTGTTTTGACACGAACGGTCCAGGACGAGGCCGGTTGCGAAGGTGCGGCCCTGAGAGCTTCACTTTGGAATGGAGCAGATTTGAGCACGGCGGCAGGAGTCCGGATCGTACCGGAAAGGATTGTCCATGAGAATCCCAGTGCGGTCTGGCTGTCGCCGCCATGCGGACCATTTTCTCCCATGCAACACACTAACCACCGCACTCCGGAGCAGTGCGAAGAGTTAAAAAGGAAGCGAGAGTATGCCAAGCGGGTGTACGCGGGAGCCGCCATCGTGTTTCGGTTTTGCGTGCAACGGGGCATACACTGTGCTTGGGAGATGTCTGAGAAATCGGACGCGTGGAGACTTCCTTTGCTTCAGGACCTTGTGCGCCGTTTTCAGTTGCTTGTGTGTGTGACACATGGATGCAGAGTAGGTTTGCAGGACAAGGCGGGCAAACAGTTATTGCGCAAGGGCTGGAAGATCGTGACCACACACGCACGATTGGCACATGACATGCAAATGACGTGCTGTTGTCATAAAGCTTATGTGCATGGTAGATGCGAGGGTGAAGCGACTAGCCGGAGTGCCAAGTACACACCCACGTTTGCCAAGCGAGTTTCTAAGGCATTGTTGCATGAGTTAGGGACCGTCGATGTGCAACATGAATGCAAAGGACAGACCAAATTACTGGAGTGTTTCGGAGCAGGATTGACATGTCAGTGTCACGAGCTACCTCCAGATGCGCCTGAGAAGTGTGGGACTTGTTTGAATCGGGATGGTTTGGTGTTACCTAAGCAGGTTTCAGGGACTTCAGGGAACCCTAAGCCCCAGGTGACCCAGGAAGAAACAGGCCCGGATTTCGGAGAACCCGAACCCCTAGAAGAGATAAGCTACAGCGCCAGCGAAGTGCAACAAGTTGAGACGCGGGCCATGGAATTGGACCGGAAGCAGGACTACAGCGATGTTGCGTGTGAACAACTTATCCGTAGCCTTCCTTTGAAGCCCCAGGTGAGCCGGAAGGGTAAGCTAGGAGGAGAGAAGGTGTCGTACTTTGCGTTTGGTGCGTATGCCTACGGCTCCCAGTATGGTGTCGCTAAAAGAACTCATGTGTTTCCGAAGGTTCTCAAGTACATCAACAACTACTTACGGAAACGAGACCCCAACCAGCGTAGGTGGACCTCTCTCGTCCTGAACTTCAACCACAACATGCCTCTCCACCGAGATGTGAATAACCAGGAACAACAACCGAACTTGATGATAGGTCTCGGTAACTACCAGCAGGGAGGTCTTTGGATCCAAGAGACCGTGCAGGCACGAGAGATGGGGCTCCACATGAGTTCGACGGCCACAATAAGCTCCCGGACGCTCCCTTCAGGAGAACAGATCTGGGGACGAGTACATGAGACCCAAGGGAAGCTACTAGAGTTTCCACCCAAGGCATGGCATGGAACCGAGCCCTGGGAAGGAGAAAGGCTGGTGATCTCAGCCTATGCTGTACGAGGACAAGGGAACCTGTCTCAGGAAGAACTCCAACAACTTAGGAACGTAGGTTTTCCTCTCCCACCTCAACCTGGGCGAGTTGTGCATGGAACGTATGCTGTCGGAGCGTCACAGAGGGAACAGAGACAAGAAGAAGAGCGTATTAAGAAACAGTTGTACCTTCTTCATGCCGCGACAGGACACTGCTCAACTAAACATTTGGTTGAGGCCCTGAAGCGTAGAAACGCCAAACCTGAAGTCTTGAAACTGGCCCTGGATTTCAAGTGCTCCATTTGTGAAGAAAGGAAGAGAGTTCAACCCCGCCATGTGGCGTCTCTGGAACCCCTTCCCCCGAAGTTCCATACCGTTTCTGCTGACGTGGGACATTGGAGACATCCGACGACGGGAGAGCACTGTCAGTTCATGGTTGTGTTGGATGAAGGATCTCGATTTCGGCTTGCGAAGATTCTGTCCAGGGGTGCGAAGCAACAGCCTTCTGGAGCGGCTTGTGTTGAGTACCTTCGAGAGGGATGGACCCAGATTTTCGGAAATCCTAGGACCCTCAGGTTAGACCCCGCGGGGAATTTTCGAAGTGAAGCTGTGTCAGACTACTGTCATAGACAGAACGTGTTCTTAGATTTGGTTCCAGGCGAGGCCCATTGGAAGATAGGAGCATGTGAGCAGGCAGTTGCAGGGTTGAAGACCGTCATGGACAAGCTGTGTGCCACGGAAGAATCCATTAGTTCAGAGGAAGCACTCGCCATTGCTGTTAGGACTTTCAATCAACGAGACCTCATACGTGGTTTCTCCCCAGTGCAACACGTTTTAGGGCAAGTTCCTGACGAAACAGGGCGCATTGATGTGGCGACACCCGCGCTTCCACCGGAACTTCTGATTGAAAACCCTAACACTGAATTCCAGCAGGCTGTTCAACGAAGAATCGAGGCCGAGAAAGCTCACGCCGAATGGAATGCAAAACAGAGACTGACTCGAGCGGCCAATTCGAGGACGCGTCCTGTGATGGACTACCAACCCGGCGAACTTGTGTTCTATTGGCGACAGCAAGACTCAGCCAAGAATCGACAAGGACCGAACAGCAAGCGCGGATACTTCATGGGCCCTGCAAGGATCTTGGCAACTGAATCTAAACGGAATCCTGATGGAACGCTCCAACCAGGTTCATCGGTGTGGTGCATACGAGGACGACAGTTGGTGAAGTGTTGTGTTGAACAGCTTCGAAGGGCTTCGGCACGGGAAGAGCTGGTTGAAAGTTTGGTTGAGCATGATAGGACGCCCTGGAGTTTCAGTAGAGTTGCTGAACAGATAGGCGGCAATCAGTACGAAGATGTGTCTCAACACAACCCCTCTGAAGCGGAATGGTGGCGTTCTCAGGACAGTACGCAAGAAGCACCGCCGACCCGGTATCGTTTCCGAGGAAAACGAGCAGCCAATGCACCTGTGGAGGAAGGCTCAGATGAGGAACTCATCCCTGCCGATGAAAGGACTCCGGCTACCAGTTCGAGACAGCGACCTCGTAGAGAGATTGAGTTCGGAGAGTGCTGGTGGTCTCAGATTTCGGAAACTTCCTGGACCCCCACGAATCAAGCTTTCTGGCAGGATCAGAAGGCTAGTGTTGAGGTTGAGGTGGAGATGCCGAACAACGCTAAGACGTGGGACTCTGCTTTACGGGACTTTCAGTGTTACATGGTTGGAGCGATGAAGCGTAGAGCTGTGGAAGTGAGAGAGCGACACTTGAGTGAGGAGGAACTCAAGCAGTTTAAGGAGGCCAAAGCGATAGAGGTCAGAAACTTCCTGGGAGCCCAAGCTTTTGAGCTTTTGCCCGAACACCTGAAACCAAGCAAGGAACAAGCCATAGGCATGCGTTGGATCCTGACATGGAAGGTTCGCGAGGACGGAACAAGAAAAGCTAAAGCTAGGGCTGTGCTCTTAGGATATCAGGACCCTTCGTATGAACATAGAAGTACCACGGCCCCAGTGATGTCCAGGCAAGCTAGACAACTGTTCTTACAACAGGCGGCTAACCGCAGATGGACGGTGCACAAAGGAGATGTTTCAGGAGCCTTTCTGCAGGGCAGAGAGTACCCTGATGTGCTGCACTGCGTGCCCTGTGATGAAATCTGCGATGCCATGAATGTACCTAGAGGGACGGTGACTAGGTTGAAGCGAGCGTGTTACGGGCTTGTCGATGCGCCGCTGGAGTGGTACCGATCCGTCGCGGACTTTCTCGAAGGACTGGGTCTACAAAGGACGTGGTCAGATGCCTGCACATGGACCTGGAGGGTGAAGGGTGAACTTCGAGGTTTAATTTCAGGACATGTGGATGATTTCCTTTTCGGAGGGGATGACAATGATCCGGAGTGGCAGGGTATCTTAGAGAAGATTCGACAACGTTTCAAGTGGGGTGACTGGGAAAGGGACACTTTCGTGCAATGCGGTGTGAAGGTTGAGAAGACAGTGGACGGCTATGCTTTGAGCCAGCCGCAGTTCATCGAGGGACTGAGAGAAATCACTCTTAATGCCACTCGCAAGAAAGAGCGAAAGCAACCCACCAGTGACAGAGAAAAGGGCCACTTGCGGGCCCTCCTTGGAAGCCTCAGTTGGTTGGCGCAGCAGACGGCGCCGCACATCTCAGCTGACGTGAGCTTATACCTTTCTGAAGTAGCTACGAGCACGGTGGAGACGATCGTCAAGGTGAACCAGTTAGTCGCTAACGTGACACAGCGAAAACATCATAGAATGCTCATTCATGGTTTTGCTCCGACTGAGGAACTTGCAGTTTATGCATGGGTTGATGCGGCCAATGGCAATCGACCCGATGGCAATAGCACGTTGGGAATGTTTGTGGGCATAGGACCAAAGAGCATGTTGAGTGGAGCTGTGGGAAATGTGTCACCCGTAGCGTGGCATTCGTCCAAGGCCGATAGGGTCTGTAGGTCCCCGGGAGCTGCTGAAGCGCTAGCAGCCGTCAATGGAGAAGACTCGTTGTACTTTGCGCGGTACCATTGGTGTGAGCTCCAGTATGGCAAGGTGAACTCCAAGGACGCCCTCCCCACGGTGCAACAGATCACAGGGTGCCTGGTGACAGACTCGCGAAATGTGTATGACAAGTTGAGTACGGAAGTGCTAGTGGTGAAAGGTGCGGAAAAGCGCACCGACATCGAGTTGATGGGACTGAAGGAGTCTCAAGAAAAGACTGGATTGCTGATTAGATGGGTTCACTCGGAGGCCCAATTAGCAAATAGTCTCAGCAAGAGCGCTGGAAGCCGTGAAATCGAGATGTACTACCAGATGCAACATCGCTGGCGTATAGTGGAAGATACTCAAATGAGATCGGCAAGAAGGCGAAGACAGGAGGGCATAGCACCTCTTGACGACTCAGTGGCGGAACAAGTAGAAGAACAAAGTTGAATGTTTCTTATTTGGAAGAGGTACGGGGGCATGCAAGCAACACTCGCTTGTGTGCATCAACGCATAGATGTTTGATACACGAAGTCTTTGATGCTCAGGGGAAAACAAGAGTCTGGACCGGGCTTAGACCGAACTGCCTTGCCGTTCGCTACAGAGCCATAGAATCCAGAGTCATTCGAGCTCTCCTACGACTTGTGCTCAGGGGTTGCACCGCCAGCCTACCGACTGTCAAGGGTTTAGGGCCTACTTGGAGGATCATGGGACTTAACAAGTATGGTTATAAGTACCTTATTTGGGGTTATTAGTAGTTATAAGTATAGTTACCCTAAGAGTAACCTTAGTTACTAAGTCCCATGATCCTTTACGTAGGAGGTCTTCAGGGCGCAGGAGTTGACGAACAAGAGGATTCGGCGTTCCGGAACTCAGGAGTTGTAAATTTAGAATTTCGGTGTCAAGGGCCTCTGAGGATACTCAGCGCGATGAGACGAACCGTTAAGGCACTGCACGGAGACCGCGCTCCTGCCTACCGTGTGGGTTCCTACTATAGTGGCCACTATACTCCTTTCCGCCTTCTCTATCTGAACATCGTGCCGCTGAATCTCTCCCTAAATCCGACGCCTCGGACCTTGCCGAAACCTTGTCTCGTGAACTGTATTGTGCTGCCAAGGATGCTTACAGAATGGTTTTCAGAATGGCCGCCCACACCCAGGATCTGTTCGAAGGGTCGGGGCTTTGTGCTGCAGAAACTTGGAAGTGTGCGGCCAACTCGGAGAGAGCATAGTCATAGTCCCACCACGTGCAAAAGAAGCGAGCAGCACTGTCGCTTCAGATGCAAAGATTGGCACTTTCCATTTCCTGCGACACAGATCCAGGCTCCAAGGCCTCATCAAACCCACTTGGAGGATCATGGGACTTAATAAGTATGGTTATAAGTACCTTATTTGGGGTCATAAGTATAGTTACCCTAATAACTTTAGTTACTAAGTCCCATGATCCTTTAAGCTTGACCCCGGACGTGACAAGCGCAAGATGCAAGGGTCGAAGGTCTCCCCAAAGAATTTCGGACAGTTTGCGTTGGAAATCTCGGTCTGCGGCATCCAAAAAAGCAAAAATCCCAGAGACTCCACGTTCCTTAATTTCGGAATATTCCTTAAATCACGTTAGGGATCCTACTATAATGTCAGGTATATATAGTTTAAGGATTTAATGAATGGATGTTTGCGTCTCTGGGACCCCAAAGCAATGACGCCCTGAATGCTGTGAAGCCTTGGGTGCAGGAGCCTGGCTCCGGGGCGGCAGAAAGTAGCAGACATACTCGCACGCGACACTTGGCTTTTCTATCGCGTTATGATCGTCATCATCCTCATCACCATCACCGTCATTAACATCATCATCATCATCATCATCACCTTCATCACCATCATCACCGTCCTCACCTTCATCACCTTCATCATGTTCATCACGTTCATCACCCTCATCACCTTCATCACCTTCATCTTCATCCTTTTCCTCCTTTTCCTCCTCTTCCTCCTCTTCCTCTTCCTCTTCCTCTTCCTCTGCCTCTGCCTCTTCCTCTTCCTCTTCCGCTTCCTCTTCCTCTTCCTCCTCCTCATCACCATCATCAACATCTTCATCTTCTTCTCCATCTTAATGTTAATATCATTCTGCTCATCTTCTCATCGCCCATCACCACCATCATGACTCTCCTCATTACCACATCGTCATCATCGCCATCGCATGTGCTCGCTTCTAGAAGGGTCTGCGGGCATGGTCATGGCATTGACGCCCTGGAAGGCATCAGAATTAGAGTTCAGTGCGAGGGATTGATGTTCTGCTTGCGTCTGGTGGTATGCATTATGCTCGTACCTTTCGCATGATAGTTATGGCTGCGCTACACCGCTACGCCATCAAACATAAGTCCAAGCCCCCAAATACTACATCGCGATATGTCGTAGCCTTAGGCCGAATTCTACATAGCTACCCAAACTCCAAATCCTACATGTTAGGTGTCTCAACCCTAAACCCTCAGTTTAGATCCCCCAAGTCTGCAGTCTAAGCCCTAAATTCTGAACCCTAAACCCTATAGACACTAAACCCTACAGAAAAGCACACGAAACAACATGAGCAAAGATACCACCTACAGCAAAACCAATCACACCAACAAAGTTGAGTTGTTCTGTCCAACGACATGAAGTAACCCCCGAGTAGTTTCGGCCAGAGGAAGTTGCAAAACTCGGTGACGCCGGCACAGTGTTCCTTGGTGGATCCTCGCAGGGATGCAGCACGGCCGAGGAATGTCGGGTTTGGGGTTTAGGGTTTTGGAGTTTTGGTGCTTTGGGTTGGGGTTTGCGGTTTGCAAGCAGTGCGAGCTCGCAACTGGAGGCATGCCACGCTTCAGTCCGCGAACTCGCACAGCACACCTCTAAGCCCCTATGCCCCTGAGCCCTGAACCTCAAACCCTAAGCCTTTGAGCCCTCTACCTTAAACCCTAAGCCCTGAGCCCCAAACCCTCGTTCTTCCAAGTCGAACCCTAGATTCGACACGAGCCCTTTCGGACTCCTCCTGAAAATTTGAAAAGCACCCGCTCCAAATTCGGGATGTGAGGGTTCGTTTAGGCCTACTTGAAAGGTTCCTGGGTGGCTATAAGACGGTGTGTAAGTCCCCTGATATGGGTTCTAACTAGTCATAGCTATCCTACTTATACCCCCACTTCTAACTAACCATGAACCTCCAAGTAGGCTGATCGCATCTACACAGAGTTTACGGTTTTCCGGATGGAATTTGGATTCTCCACCTACCATACTTTCTCGGCAGCTCTTTGCCCAAAGCCCTAAATCCCCAACCCTCAAAGCAAAGCCCAGGCATTCTGGGGCTGGACGCTTTCCTGCGCTCGCCACACGCGACGGGCTTGCAAGTGACACCTTACATTCTAAACCTAATCAGCCACAAGGATCAAAACCCTAAGGTACCCCAAGCCACCTTAAACCATTTAAGCCTTAAACCCCCAAACCCGAAACTCAATTAAGCACAAGCTTAAATCCTCCTGAAAGTCAGATCCGGGACGTGTCGACGCTGAACCCAAACCCTACGATTCAATGTAGTCCTCTTTGGGGGTTTAGGGTTTTGGGGGGTAGACAAAGTAGTTCTCTTCAGGGTCTTAAGGGTTTGGGGAGATGAATCAGTTTAGAGAGGGGTTCACCGTTTTGGGCCGAGCAAGGAAACCATAATTACTAACAGAGGCATCTCAGCGGAGAGTAGAGGTGAACCCTAGGATTTCCACAGGTTCCGAGTTGAAGAAGGTTTAAGGTTTAGGGGTTAGCCTAAACCCCTAAAACCCACCAAAGCCTACAAACCCCAAGCCTTAGCCCCAAAGCCGGAGGCATTGGCCATACAAAAGGCTTTCAAGTTTCGAGAAGCTTCCTGGGCCCAACAGGTTCAATCTAGTTAAAGCATTGAGAAACTTGAACTCCACGACGCTTTCCTTTTCTGGAGCCCATGCTCTACAAATCAGTAGGTTACAGCCCCGTCCTGTCAGAGTACACAGCCTCAGTACACCCTAAACCCGCAGATCCCTCACCCGAAATCTATCCCGTAAAGCTACCTCAAGCAGACATCCCCAAAGCCCTTAACGGGTCAAGTCGCCAACCAGGACCTCGGTGGCTTCTTCGGGCTGAATGGCTTCTGGCCGAAAGGCAGCAGCGAGGCACTCGCTGCGAAAGTTCAAGGAAGATTCCTTTCGCAGAGCTTCCCAAAGGGTCCTATGTACTGTTATGGGGGGTACTTCCCCAAATCATAACAGTAATTCCTAATATAGAAACCCTACATTCTACTATAAAGGTACTTTGGACCCTTTGGGCTTTGCATGAGGTTTGTAGACGGCAATTTGGGTTTTGGGATTGAGGGTACAAGGTTTACATAGGGTTCCAAAAAGCTGGGCCGATCAAGAGCCTACAGCAAAGCCCCGACCCAGATCCAGAGACTCCAATATCCCTTAGTTAAGGAATCTGTCTTGGAATTTATCCCTTAATTAAGGAAATTATCCCTTAATTAAGACTATGTTTTAGAAATTATCCCTTAATTAAGGAATATATTTTAGAAATTATAGTAGGATCGCTAATGATTCAAGGAGTTTCTTTAATTAGGGGGTATTGGAGTCTCTGGGGAAGCCTAAACCCAAGCGCCTACCCGAGCCCCCAAGAGACGAGTTTGGGCGCTCTAGGTAAACCCTACACCCCGAGCTCTCACCCCTACGCCTTAAACCCTAAACCCTAAACCCTACTAAACCCTAAACCCTACTAAACCCTAAACCCTAAACCCTAACCCTAAACCCTACTAAACCCTAAGCCTTAAACCCTAAACCCTCCACCCTAGACCCGAAATCCTGAGCCCTGCACCTTAAACCCCAAACTAGAAAAGCTACATGGGAGTTTCCGACAACAGGGGACCTCAATATAGTACCCTAGATAGCACGATCCTTATCATAAGGACTCCAAACTAAGGCACCCCGAATTTTCGGAAACTCCCAAACCCTAAACCCTAAACCCTTCATAGAACCCTTATAGATCCCTCTAAGGAACCCTTAGAGGAGCCCTAATTTTCGGAAACTCCCAAATCCAAAGAGGCTCTTGCAAAAGTGCGGCCGAACCTCCTCAAGCGACCTCTTCTGTTGGTGTCCAGCTTGCAACTATCGTCTCCTTAGGAATTATTTTTTCATTTTTGTTCATATAAAACCCAAGAGTCAGAGACCTGAAGGAATTATTTTTCATTTTGGGTCATATAGAACCGAAGTGACCTTACGGAATTATTTTGTTTATTTTTGTTCAAATAAAACCCAAGAGACCTCAAGGAACAATTTTCTAATTCTTGTTCATATAAAATGCAAGAGAATATGAACCATAGTTTTGTGTTTAATTGCGGTTCTAAAGGGGGTATAGGCAAGAGGTTTCGGATTTGGGGGGGATTGAGGGCTTCGAATTTGGTGGGTTTTCGGGTTGAGGGTTTAGGCGTTAGGGTTCATGTGGGGTGCAGGGTAGGGATCTAGGGTTTAGGGTTTATGTGGGGTTCAGGGTAGGGATTTAGGGTTTGGGGTTGGGTTTCGGGTTGCTCAGTGTTCTGTGCAGGGTTTTTCTTTCTCGTGAGCAGGGGAGAGAGGGCTTCTGTGGAGGCTGTTCTGGCCTGTGGATGTCCGTGGTTCCATCTATGTCAAGAACGGTTTGGGGTTTAGGGTTTAGGGGTTTAGCTGCATCAACACGAGTTTACCAACAGCCAAAACTTAATTAGAGGCCCGAGTTGCCGGAATGATGCGTGATTGACGTTCTACCTGAGAGTTTCGTTTTGCTAATGACTCCTTACAGTACCAACCCCCTAGAGCGCACACCCTTGTCCGACTTCTCCGATGTTCTCTGTGGAAACGCTTTGTATGTCTCAGCTAAACGGAGGCGCAGAAGTGACGCGAAAATGATCCGCTTACCTTAGCACTGTCTCAAAGCCTCTGGGTTAGCAAGCGTTTCCTGTAAAGTTCCCACACGTTGAGTTGCTTATAGTCGCCTTAGGAACTATCAGTTTTCATGTTCGTTCCTATAAAACCCAAGAGAATATTAAACATATTATTTGTATTCTGGTTCTAGGGGTATAGTTGCAGCACAAGATAAACCCAAGCCCCTGCTCATCTCAATCCTGTCCGAACCTCTGTTGCCGACAACATCCAAAGTCTTAACAACCCCTCGAACCCCATATCAAAGGGGGGACCCCTACCCTATAATAGCCCATAATAATGGGAATACGGTTGTACCTAGGGGTCCTTATTAGGGGTCCCTCCTCTTACCCTTGGACCATAGATTGAAGCGCCAACTGCATCCCAAGGTAAATGGTGAAAGAGACACCGTCGTCGACCCCATAGATGCCAATTCCAGCTATGAGGACGAAGCCAAGCCGAGGGGTAAGTTTGCATTCACCTTGGGGAGGAGCTTTGTTGGGCTTCTTGGGGTATTCATGCTGCATTTATAAACCTTGGTTGCTGAGTAGGTGACCGTTAACCTTTTGGGGTTCACATAACCCTACCTTGATTGAAAGGCTATATAACCTTTGTGGGGCTAGGATACTCAGCTTCTAAGTATACGGTTATATGATGTTGCAGAGTTCATGGCGTACTGTTCTTGGAGTGGTTGCTCGCAGAGTCGCTTCCGCACCGGGACTCCGGCTCATCTTTGTAGGAACAGGCGCAGACCGGTGACCCAAACAGAGTCAAGTTTCACACCCAAAACCCCAAAAACTTGCAGCTGTATGATGCAAGATGTGTGCCCTGATTGAGGGGTGTTGCACTCCCCTCTAGGGTTTAACCATGAAGAGTTTAGGTTACTGAAGTTTACTGTAGGGTTTAACCGTTTCAAAATGAAGGAATTAGCGTGTAGGGTTTAACCAACGGTTTAGTGTTTGGGGCTTGACCATAAAGGGTTATCGGGCTTAGGGAAACGCTACTTGGAGGATGATGGGACTTACTTCGGGGATAGAAGAAGTTAGAAGTATAGTTACCCTAGAATAACCTTAGTTACTTTGTCCCGTGAGTCTTTAAGTAAGCCTGGTATGTTCAATGGCTCAGAGGAGTTGCGGAAGGCGGGGCTCACGCCCGAGATACTCCAGGCCTTGGGATGAAAGAAAGACTGCCGCATCATTCATAAAAGGAAGAAGAACCATAGCCCTATGCCTCCAGGGACCTTATTATGGGGTCCTTACGGGGTCCAGGGCTCTGAATATTAGGTCCTGGGAGGGATAGGGTAGTGATAACGATACTAGCAAAGATAGAAAAGTACCAACAACAATACTTGCAATATCAGTCATGGAAACAATGTAAATCGGTTATTACTGCGGATCAACCTTGGTAAGGAATTTTGATTAGTGGTCTTGGGTTCCTGGTGCTTTTTATGATGTAGCTGAACATATTTTGCCTGCTTCATGCATATATGGTGGGATACTTCCCATTCGCTGTCTGTCAGGTGGTTTGAGTGCACTATGGCTTGGGCATAGGGCTTCAGGGTGTTAGCAGTTACCGGTTCTTTGGCGGACTTCCCTTCACGTTTGCATTACTACATGACCCTGCTGGGTGGGGATGTAGGAGGTGCAGCATTTGTAAATCTTCCAAAGGACAATGGCTGTTTCCATGCTGGCAGGGTTTCCAGGACCGGAGTGGTGCTAGGAATCACGAGGCTTGACTTGCAATCCAAATTCAGGACTCGCTGCCACGAACGTGATACGCATATCTTCACAACACAAGCCCATACCGGTGGATTGCAAAATCGACCCTGCAAACTCTCCTAAACCCTAACCCCGACTTTCCCTCGAAGGTGCCAAAGATGAGTCATCACGCCGGCGAGCTGGAAGGGAAATACATCCAACACTTCTTGTCCGAGGTATTAAGACAATAAAACCCTGAAGCCCCTAAACCCCTCTTAAACCCCTAAACCTAAAGCCCCCCCAGACCCCAATTCCTATAAAGCTTTCAGAACCCTCAACACCATCCAAACCACGCCTCAAACCATAGCCCCCGAGCCCTAAACCACCTAAATCCCAAAAGGCTTGAACCCTCAAGCCCTCGAGCCTGCAACGTGCAAAGCAAACCCGAAACCCCAAACCTTAAACCCCAAAACCCTAAAGCCCTAAAGCCCTAAAACCCTAAACCCTAAACCGAAAAAACCCAAATACGCCCCAAGCAGCCCCGAAGTTGGGGGGGATGCTGGGCTTGCTGACTGTGTTGAAAACGGCCTTGCTGCTCTCAGTTGCTTTGGATAAATGTTGAGGGTTTAGGGTTCAGGGTTTAGGGTGTAGGGTTCAGGGATCAGGGTTCAGGGTGTAGGGTTCAGGGTTTAGGGTTGAGGGTTCAGGGTTCTGGAACTGTTTCAAGAGTTCAGGATTTAGTAGGGCTCCTGAAATACGGGTTCCTCTAAGGCTTCCGTCGAGGCCAAATTGGGTCACACGGCTAGTGAACCCCAGAGAGTTGGAACATGGATTTAGGATGATAAGCACATTCCCTAAACTCGATAAGGGCATGAGGATATTGATGTTTCCACTTTCTAGCTTCTACCTTAAGGGTTGCGGGTTTCGTGGCGGTTGCTTCAGCCGATTGCAGCTTTGGTTAGTGCCGCATCTAGCATCGAGGGCGTAGGCATGTAGGGCGTGCGGTTTCGATGATGCAATTTAGATAGGGTTTAGAGTTTAGGCGGCGTTAGGGTTTAGGGGATTAGGGTTTCAGATATTCGGGCCGAGGACATCGCTGTTCCAAGCATAGGCGGCTAAAGCGCTACCATCTAGATTTGCCGTCATGGTTTCATCGCCAGTGTGTTTCAGCTACATGTGCCAGCCTCCTGATTTGGTCTTGTGATCTGCTTGTTCCGTGTCCTGCCACCGAAACCTTCAGTGAAATGTGCAATCTGCAACGCCCCCCACGAAAACGAGACCCTACTATAAACTCTAAATCCGATACCTTGATTTGTTCCAGACCCGAAAACCCTAAACTTACAGCCTACGAAGCCCTAAACCCGAAGGCGTATTTTGAGACATCCGGAAGCCCTACTTCTCTAGGACCCTATTACTACAGAGGCCTTATTATAATTACCTATACTGTTTTGGGGTTCCTTCTTATAACTTTAGTATACTATACCCCAAAACATATTCTAATTAT